TTATAGGATATGCTGGACAGTACAGTTTTTCACTGTCATGACTGTGTGGCTGACTGGAGCTGTGGCTTGTAAGCCAAAGCCCAACATTTTGAAATTTTCATACCATGAGTCACTTATCCAGGAAAAGATCAAATCTCAAATCTGAAGTATCATTTTTACTAGATTGATACTGCTTTTGTACAGAAACTTTAAGTTGAATGACATCATAAATTGACATTTTACATATTGTTTATACAGTGTGCTATTACTCAGCCTTCAGAAAGAAAGAAAGAGGCATTGCTGTTTGCAGCAGCGTGGATTACTCCAAAGAACCCAGTTGCAGAGATACTGTATATAATTTCAGGTCTCTGTGGATTCTAAAATAGTTACCCCCAGGGTAGAAGAGAATACTACACCCAGGGGTTGGGTGGTGGTGGTGGGGGGGTTGTTTGCTGCAAACTTCCAGCTACAGACTGGGTAAGTTCTAGAACTCCACTGTACAGCAGCAGGGGCACTACAGCTAACAGTAGTGTACTGTTCTCATGCCAATGCTGAGGGTTCGTCACAGAGTGGTTCCCCAACTCTTCATGCACCTGGTTCGCACATGCAGGGCTGTGAGGAGATGCATAAGTTAGCATGTGTGTGGTAACTGTTTGTCTATGTCAATATCACATTGTGTACCTTAGGTGTGTAATTTATATACTTTTAAAGCTATTGAATAATCATCTTCCCAAATATTTTTATAAAATTAATATCCATAACATCTTAATTTTAAACTGTCTACTTTTCCATTTTCCCTACAGTCCTTGTCATAACTAACAGTAAATGAAATTACACTGTTTTACTTACCATTACATACTAAATAGTCCTCATCACAATAATAACTCATCATAATAATAACAATAATATGACATGAATCATTAATTTATTTCCCTATTGTCTATTCCATTGATTTCAATATTTAACACATAGGAAAAGCTATGAATAAATGGATACAGATACAATTTTTTTCTTTGCTTAAATAGCTTCCTTAAGATAAATTCTCAGTCCTTGGATAAGTGTGTTGAAAGGTAATAACATGTCTTTAGCAAGTCTGGGAGGTGGCTTTGCTCTTAAGCAACCCAGTCTTTGCAGAGTTCAGAGATCTCCAGAAGATTTTAATTCCTTCTGAGGACGGCTTCCCCAGGACCCAAGGGCCTCCCAGGAGGCCTTGCCTCTTAAAAGTCCTGACACCCACCTCCTGACACAAACCACCACACTGCCAAGGAAGCTTGCAGTGAACATCTGGTGATCTACGCCACTTGCAAAGCTAGCAGGCACACAGGAGCTCTCCCTATCAGATTCCCTTCCCATCCAAATACGTCTTTACTATCCACTAAATCCACTGAAGTTCTCATCTACTTAAGAAATTTTGTGTTTGTTCTTTCATGTAAGAAGAAAACATTTCATCAGATTTTGAATATTATGAACCAAACATTTACATCATTTTTGTATAAGTCTTTATGCTAACATTTTATTTGCTCTTAAAATATTGCAGGTATTGTTGGGTCACAGAGTAATTGTATATGGAACTTTATTTTAAAACACCTTATTAAAACAAACAAACAACAGCTGAGGTGTTTTCTAAGATGGCTGACTCATTTTACAATAGCAATGTAGAAACTGAGCATTAACTTGTAAGGTTCTGATTTGTTAATTATTTCAGAAAGGGGAAGCAGTTATAATTCATTTTTAGCCCATTGATCATGTTTCTGAATACCAGCTCTTTCATGGAGATGTGGAGTGTGTGTGTGTGTGTGTGTGTGTGTGTGTGTGTGTGTGTGTGTGTGTGTGTTAGAGCAGGGTGGCATGATCCAATGCTGCTGTCTCTTACAAGACATTCTCAGAGATCTATGGTACAGTTCCTATCTGCACTATCTCCCAGTGGAGCTTTGCTACGTGTGCAAGTAGAATCTTTACAATTTGTTGGACTTTGATACGAGTTACCATGAAACCGTAATACAATAATGGAGACTTTCTGGACCGTGGTGATAATAAAGGAAGATGATCCCACTCCCCCAGTACTCACCAGGCAGCAACAGAGAAGGCAAGTGTTCTAGACTAAGAGTTTGGACTCAGTTACAAGTTATGTGGTTTGAGATAAGAGTGCAAGATGCTGGAAAGGAATAAGCAAGGCAAGGCAAACTCCGAATCTCCTACCCCTGCTAAAATTTGTGACTGTAAAGGTAGGCAGAAATTCTTCTTAAGAAAATATTACCCCCAGTTAAATAATGCATGAGTATAACATCCTTAAAACACACAAACAGCAGTGCCAAAGGCAGAGCCAAAGTCCTCCATGGGCCAGCTATTAAATCCACAACCTGCTTCTCTCCAGTTTACTCTGGTAATGAGGCCTCTGTGTTTCATCTAGATGGAAAAAAAAAATACTCAAATTATATACCTCTTGTCATGGTATGTTTTTCACGAAGATGGTATAGGGAACTGTGACCACGTAGCCACGTCAAGGACCACTTTGAAGTTCCATAGATATGGCATTATAGAAAGGATACAAAGGAAGAGTAGAAAAGGAACAAGTCTTACAGAGAGAAGTAGGAACGAAACCAGAGCATGAATCTAAGTTTTCAGTTCTCTCAGCAACAAATCCCCAAACCCTGTGAAAAAGTCTGCTGGAAGTATCATGTAAGACATAACAGTGTTAGACTATACCACTTCACTGTGCTTACTTTTTCCTGTTGTTGTTGTTAAAAGAGATTATTGGGTGACAGTGGGCATCCACTGGATGCCATGTGCTGAAATTCCTGGCACTCAGAATACAAGCAGATGTGTTCAGCATAAAACACTCACTCACTTTAGACACAATACACCGCTCTTAATAAAGAATAGTGGAAGCATTCTAGAATTCTAATTGCTCAGACACTAGCCAGGGGTCAATCTTGTAAGCAGTCCTTTCTAAAGCCTGAAATCTTTTGCTACTATGGTAACTCTTTTTGGCATGCCAAAATGACGTTTTGAGACTTTCTTTGTGCACACAAAATGTTCTTGAGGTTTAACTATCTAAGTATGTTTCTTTTCAATGTTCTGAAATTTTCTCTTGAAAACAAAATATTAATGGGTATGCATGTTCTCACGTCCAAGGTTTCTCTGCTACACTCCTCTTGTCCTAGGGTCTGATCTAAATTTAGGAAGAATGGTAGAGGGAATTTTACCTCAATGCATAGAAATGTGGCTTTAAAAACTCCAAGCCATCAGAAAGACAGCACAACAGGGCTGGAGAGATGGCTCAGGGGTTAAGAGCACTGGCTGCTCTTCCAGAGGACCTGAGTTCAATTCCCCGCACCCACATGGTGGCTCACAACAATCTGTAATGGAATCTGATTCCCTCTTCTGGTGTGCTTGAAGATAAGACAGGTCACTCTTTTACATAAAATGCATATTTTTTAAAAAACATTAATACTGGCATTGTTTCATTTAAAAAAAAAGGACAGTGGAATACTATTACCTGACAACGTCAAATTTCTCTGAATCTGTACTATTCGATTTAAATGGGAAGCATTGAGTTCCCAGAGAAAATAGGGGAACCTTTCATTCCATCAGTAGGTCTCTGCTTCCCCTTCCCTGAAAGCAGCTGCTGAAACAGTGTTCCATGCAACTGTAAAAATCATTTATAATGACAAAACACTTTGAGGTAAACGCTACAAACTTCAGGGATCAGTCTGAGGCCGATCCCACCCAAAGCAAACACCTTGTAAAAAAAAAAAAGAACTTAAGCGACTGTAGGGTATGTTCATCCCCCTTCTGGGACCCTTGGCTTTAATTTCCATGTTTTGTCACCCACAGGTGTGCCCCCTGAACGCGGCCGGCCTTCCTAAACGTTTGGGTACCTCCCAGCTCGCGAGCTGACTCATCGGCATCCTTAACACTCTTGCAGCAAAGCGTAGGCGCCCTGCAGTGAATGAATGAACGGATTCGTAGAAAGGCGGCGGGAAAGGGGTTCGTTTTGTTTTGTTTTGTTTCCGAGATGTGTGACAGATTCGCTCGCTGACTACGACAGCCACACGTCGACAGCAAGCACCCAGCCGTTCCGTCCGACAGCCGCCCGCGTCCAACCAGGCTCTCCGAACCAAGTCCCGGCGCTTGCAGACGGCGCCCCGCCCACCGGCGATGAGTTAGGAACTCCGGGCGGTCCGGAAAACCGGAAGTGCTGGCAATCCCCCCCCCCACCTCGCTTCCCCGCCCCCCGCCCCGCGCATGCGTGCCCGCCTGGCCTGGCTCGCACTTCCTACTCCCGGCCATCCAGTGAGGAAGCGGGGCCGCTCACCCCACGCAGCCGGGGCTTGGCCCACCGGGCGCCTCACGCCACCGCGCATGCGTTCTGGGCGGGCCCGTTCGCTTAGAGGCGGGGCGACGGGGCGGATTTTTTTTTTTTTTTTTGGGTAATTTTTTTTTTTCTTTTTCCTTTTCTAGATTTCATTTTCTTGGGCTCCCCGCCCCTGCTCCTTCCCACCTGCCACGTACGGGCCCGCGGCTCTCTCGCTCGGCTGGTTGGGTGTGCGCGATTGGCCGGGCCTGCGCAGCGAGCTCCTGGCTCGGCGGCTGCTTCGGCTTCGTCGGCTTCGGCTTCGGCTTCGGGAGGGCGGCCCATCTGCAACACTGCGGGCGGCGGCGGCGGCGGCGGCGGCCTC